ATAGTGAAGCGAATAGCGCGAATAGTCGACGAATAGTGCGAATAGTCCGCGAATAGTCGACGAATAGTGCGAATAGTCCGCGAATAGTCGACGAATAGTACGAATAGTCCGCGAATAGTCGACGAATAGTGCGAATAGTCCGCGAATAGTCCGCGAATAGTCGACGAATAGTCGACGAATAGTGCGAATAGTCCGCGAATAGTCGACGAATAGTGCGAATAGTCGACGAATAGTACGAATAGTCGACGAATAGTGCGAATAGTCGACGAATAGTGCTGTAGAACTAAATTTACCGAAGCGGGGCGGGGGGGGGGGCTCTATTGACAAACATGAAATCGTGAAAACATTCGTTGATGTCAATGTCATGACGTCATACGTAATCGGTAAAAATTACGGGACCACTGAGTTTTAACAAATATTTAACAGGAAGTAGAATGACAATCAGTGGCGCCGTGGGACCCATGTTTTTTTTTGGGGGGGGGCAAGGGCAGTACTTTTCCGACAAACCGAAAAATTTTTCCGACAAACCAAAAAGTTTTCCGGACGACAACATTTTAAATCTTCCCCCCCCCGTCGACAACTTTGACAATTTCCGACAGCCTTGACAATTTTCCGACAATTTCCGGCAGCATTGGCAATTTTACGACGGGTGTCAACAATAGGGGAGGGCCATGCCCCCCCGGCCACGGCGCCACTGATGACAATCACTAGACGTATGACGTCATTGACGTACGTCGACGAATGTTTTCACGATTTCATGTTTGTCAACAGAGCCCCCCCCCCCGGTAAATTTAGTTCTACAGCACTGCTGCAAAGCCTTGCAAAGTCTCTATTGCACTATTCGTCGCCTATTCGTGGACTATTCGTACTATTCGTCGACTATTCGCGGACTATTCGTACTATTCGTCGACTATTCGCGGACTATTCGCACTATTCGTCGACTATTCGCGGACTATTCGCACTATTCGTCGACTATTAGGGGACTATTCGTACTATTCGTCGACTATTCGCACTATTCGCACTATTCGCTTCACTATTCTAGTTTTATCAATTGCCCTATATCATATCCAGGATTGCTTGTGTGTAAACGGATTATTCACTATATGACAGCTCTGATATGACACTATCAAATAAATATAAGTAGCAAATGATTAATGAATTCGAGATAAACAGGTGATTCACAATGAAAACTTTAAAAATGTTAGTAGAAGTAGAAAACTCGAAAATTTATGTCTATTCGTATGACGCCAATGACGGTCTGTGCGCATCTGACATTGTAAATTTGTGATATAGATTATAGTATATTAACACAATATAATGATTAATAGAGACCAAGAAAAAGGCTAAAGTCTTACTATAATTACAGAATACGAATTATGTACTATTAAATCCAGATAAATCAATGACTGAAATTTCCTCTATGCTTATGGACTCTGTTCGGCTATTATCAAATGTTTACATTTTCTAATATTTGGGCCAGTCCTAGACAATACTGTTTCTTTTAAAAATCTTATAAACAAGAGTCGTAGTAACAAGTGCATCGGTGCAAAGCGTATGAACGTTTACAAAAAAGGACAAATATATGGCCTATTTTAAAAACTTTACAATAAACGTTTGTTATAACCGCGCTCGATTGTGAAGAGAGCATGCATTGAATAACAACCACAGGAG